TATTAACTTGTTAATATATTATCTTATACCCCTTTTTTGCAAGGACTTTCGGGTTAAGAAAAAAGACGGTCTCATCAGGACTTGTAAACTTTTTTTTTTTTTAAGTATTCCTTAACTTCTGTGAACTACCGTAAAATATTTTCCTGTGTCACTGATGCACGAGAAACTGTTAAGTTTTGGCTTATACTTTTGCATATACTTTTATTTCTTCCTAAAAATCCGTGGATCCATGTCCTCCCAGGTTAATTGTCTCTACTAATGATTGTTAATTGTCTCTACTAAGGATTGTCTCTACTAAGGTCAGTCACCAACTGTTGTACACTATCTTAAGGTTATTTTAAAGTTACAGGAAATCCTGCCATTTCTAGGATCCAGTTAGCAATAATTATTTCCTCTTTATAGCTTAGGACGGTTTGAGGTCCAATTTTCTTTCAATGGGTGACTTGCCTTCCAATTTATATTTTAGAGTAATTCTTGGTACACCATGTTTTTTAGCTGCTGTCCGGACTAGTGTATTATTATTTCTTACATCTTGGATGGCTTCCACTACCTTTTTTTCTGAGTATTTTGAAATTGAAAAGGCATAATGAATCTAAAACAGTCCAAAAAAAAATGGATTTAGAAGTTTAATGGATTTAGACACATCATTGTTCAAGTATTTGACCACCTGGTCATCTATTAGATAAATCTAACTAATTATGTTAAGAATATAAAAACAAGTGTAGTTTGCTAAAAAAAACATGAAACATGCATGTTACAAACAATGCACAATGAATTAAGATAAACAAAGGAATAATTTAGTAATTGACCACCCCTGGTCAGTTATTTATTTATTTAAATTTTCTGATCCATTATATCAGGGGTGTGGAGTCATAAAAAAAAAGTAACGACTCCGACTCCGACTCCAGTTGTTGAAATTTTTTAAGTACAACTTCGACTCCGACTCCGACTCCAACTCCGACTCCGACTCCAACTCCAAAGCAAAATATTTGAAAAATTCTTTGAATTCTTTCAAAAATATTACGCGATAAATTAATAATTTCTTTTTTGACAAATTTCTGAAACGTTCTTTGAGGTTTAGTATGAACATAAGGTTAATTGAATGTTTTGTACATGCACGTGCAATACCTAGAAGTTTTACTATTGGGGTCGGAGTTGCGATTTTGTTTGATTTTGACTCCAACTCCGACTCCGCTAAACATGTCGCAACTCCGCAAATCCGACTCCAACTCCACAGCCCTGCATTATATGACCACCCACATAACTGACTACAGATGGCAGTAAACAGATAACAAATAACTTTTAATTAAACATACTTATTTTAAAATAAAGTGAAGTAATCTGAAAATAAATGGTACTTAACTTTTAAAACTAACTTTATTTCCTTAGCCAATTGCTAAAGAAAACTTAAAAAAAATAGACCAGAACATAGCACATTAACAATGAATGTAAGCCATCTTTGTTCAAAGCTGCCAAATGTTTGCCGCGTTTACATATGTACAACAAAATGGTAGGAGAGCATTTTCCCGCTGTTTTTCAAAACGTTCTTCCGTAGTAGGGCTCATTTTAACAATTTTTTCCTAAATGGTCAATTACTGGCACATGGTCAATTACTGGTATTGTTATTATATGTTAATCAATACGGATTCAAAAAAATAACTCAACAGATCATTATCCAAATTATTTGCAATATTTTTGAATCTTTTGAAAACTCTCAATTTGCGTTAGGAATTTTCAAACATTTATTTTATCAAAAGTTTTTGATACAATTGATCATAAAATTCTCCGAAAAAAACTTGAACATTATGGAATTAAAGAAAATATTTTACTGTTACTTATTTTTTTTAAGCAACCGGAAACAGTTTGTTTATAGTAATTTAACTGACCCATCCAATCTATTAATTATAACCTGTGGTGTTTCCCGGGGTTCTATATTTGGGCCCCTTCTCTGTCTCATTTACATCAATGATTTACATAAAGCTTCGAACTTGATTGCTGTCATGTTTTCAAATGACACTAACCTATTTTTATCTGATAATAACATCACAACATTATTTTAAAATATGAAATTTCTGAATGAATTTTAAAATATAAAATTATTGGGTTGTTTAAATTAAACAAACTTTTACTTAATGTTGAAAAAACCAATTGGATACTTTTTCATCCAGCTTCTAAAAAAAACTTCTGCCTTGCGATTTTCCATTACTTTTTATTGACAAAACTCTAATTAAAAGAGTAATTATTTCAAACTTTTTGGATATCTATATCAATGAAAACCTTAAGTTGTAATATCACATAAAATTCTTGTGTAATAAAGTATAGGAATATTCTATAAAGCTAGAAATGCTTTAAATAAACGTAATATAACTCAATTATATTACTCCTTTATCAATTGTCATTTAAATATTGCTATTGTATATATTGCTTGGTGTAATGCTAATAAGTCCAAACTTAGGCCTCTTTATCGTCAACAAAAGTATGTTGCTCGTCTAATTAATTTTAAAGATAGATTTACTCATACCAAGCCTCTCTTATTTGAAATGAAAATTCTTGATGTATATCAGCTAAATGTTTTTAATATTCTTTGTTTTATGTACAAATGTAAAACTAACTCCAACCCACTTTTTTTCCGTAACTTATATACCTTAAAAAATAAAAATAAAAACAACTTAAGAAATAATAATTTAATTCGTCAACCATTTTTTCAAACTAATTTTGGAAAACCAAGCATTTTATTTCTTTATAGAATAAAATAGTTTTATAACATTTTGATTTTTTTTTGGAATGGAGTTATCCCTCATTCAAAAAAAAAGCTTAAGGGAATCATTTTGTCAATTGATGATATATTTTTGTATATTTAAACATTGAATAATAAAATATAAAAAAATCATTTGAGTAATCATTTGATAAATAGAAGCGGAAAGTGGCAGAACTTGTGTCATTGATTCTTCAAATGTTATTTGCTAGCAGTTGAAAACAGAAAGCAAAATAACTTTGTCTGGCAGAATATAACTTTTGGACTGTCACTGACTATGCTGCAGAAGTCAACATGCAAGCATTGGTCAGTCACACAGCTATACGTTTGATAGAATGCCAGGCAGAAGTTTTAACTCCTTAGAAGATCTTCAAACAATGACACTAAGGTCCAAAGTTGATGGATCAACTGGCCAAAGTCTTTATACTCAAACAAAAACAGAAAAAGAAAACAGAAATATTACATTTGAAGCCAGCTTATTCCTCACTTTCTTTGTGCCTTTGCAATTATCTGGATATCCATAATCCAATTATTTTGAAGACCAATAAGATTCTCCTACTTTTTTATTGTTTACTTGTAGCTTATTTTGAGAAGACATTTCTTAGTTATGATTCAAGCATGGAAAGTTAAAAGCCCATAATTGAGTCCAGTTTTAGTAATTAGGAGATTTTTTGCAGTGTTTAAGTCATTCATTTTTGTTGGTTTACAACCACAAACGGAGCAGCATTCTAATAATTTTGTTGCCGTGGGTAGTGCTGTGGCAACATTCCATCCACTTTCGTACTTTCAATTTTGTGAAAAACTGTAACTTTTTTATAATTTGTAGTAAATGTTTTTTCAATTGAGTTGCGAAGTAATTGTTCTTTTTCTTTTAATACATGAAATATTTCTTTTTTGGGCCACACAAGAACCGTCAGAAAAAAAAATTCAAAATAGAAAGACATAATTTCAAAAGGAATTTTGTGATAAATTTGTGATTTTAATTTTCCTAGGTCTTGTGTTTCAGGATCTTAAAACAATGGGAATACTGCTCGCCGGTTCTTTCGAAATGCATAGAAGGCTGCTGAAACTCTCTAACTAGATGTCAGCATCATTAAGATGTTGCATGTTATTTTGTGTACAAAATTTTGTTTACATTATCATCATGATATGTTATTAATTCATCTCGGTTTAGAGACTTCTGCATCCAAACAGCTGAACGATATGTGAATCAGTATCCATGGTACTACATGCAACAGAGCATGCACCGAATTCTTATTCATGGGTGGCAAGTTGTGGATCGGATTGCTTTGCCAATTACCATGCTCAGTGAGGAGGCACAAGAAACACGTAACAAGGACTTCAAGAAGTTCCGAGAAACGTTTTCAAGAAAAGGTTCCCGTTCTAAAACAAATAAAGACTTGTTAGGGAGACTGATGTGTTCATCTGATCCTATCATTAGTGATTTGAAAACACCACATCATCCAGACTTTCCAGATTGTGTGATAGAGCTACTGAAAGAAGTATCAAGTACAAGTAAGATTTTGTATAAATATATTACATTGTTATGATTTTATTAATATTACTTGAATTGTGTTTCTGTTTCCATTTTTTTGCTTTACAATTCCGTATATGTTTCTTGCTACAAATATTCTTCTTCATTGCTATATATATCATAAACTTGGATCTTTTATATTGGTGTTTTGTTAAATTTTATTTTTATTTTAAAATATTGAAAGTTCCCTTATGTAACAAGGTAAATGTGTAGTTGTTGTACAGTATGGCTTCCCATAGCAACCATATATGATATAAATGTTACAAATCGACACTACCCAGCATTTTATAAAAATATATTACTTTTGTCCAGTTAATGTGAACTCTGGCTGTGCGCTCTTAAAATAAAAATATTCAGTTAAGTCAGAATTAGTCAGGATACTCTAAGGAATATATTTATTCAGGTTGGTAAAATAATTTTAAAATTTATCTTACAGATAAATTAATAGAAAAAATGTTTTGAAATCATCTTAACTCCTCTTAACAAAAGAATGCATTCAAGTCTTAAGCTTTTGTTTTAGTTTAATTGTTAGCCTAATTCGAATACAAATGCTCAACTATTCGTAAAATAAATTAAGTTGGCTAAAACATCATATACTTCTATTAAACAATAAGCTGAACAATAATTAAATTCGATTGTTATAAACCCGCCTTTTCTCATGCAACAATTAAAATACATTTTTTCAAAAATATTATTTATTTCTAAATACTGCTTTAAATACGTTTTAATGCAAATGTAAAGATGGCATTTAACGCTTTTAATATCTTTTCATTGTAATTGTAGAAGCGATCGCTCGTTATAAAACAAAGGTTTTCAAGTGTCTAGATTGCTTTTCATAGTGGAAGTCTTCAAAAGCTTTTTCTTGTTTAGTTAAAACTTTGAAAAAAAAAATGCGAAAGGGATCCGAATTTGATTGGAAAGATAGTAATCTGGAAAAATTTGGAAGTTCAGAAGATAGAAAAGTAAACTTATTGTATCTATATATTTTTGATGAACTTCGACTCTTAAATCAATATTAAACTTTTTATCTTTACTGTTTTTTTTTAGGAATTTAAATGTTGTTATGAATTTTTAATATTTTAATATAAAGAGCTTCCCAAGATAAACTCTTTCTACAAAAACAGTGTTATAAATTTGTAGTTTTTGAAAGTTTTAACAATAAATATAAGGAGCTGGTAAAATCTTTAATTCCCCTTACCTCAAATCATTTTTCTAATTTCTTTTCCAGTATTTCCAGGTGACAGTATTTTTTATAACTTTTACAACTTGTTTGCTCGCAACAATCCATTTTTCCAATTTTTTAAACTTCATCATTAATTTAAGTGATGTACTTTTAGTACTTCTTGATTAAGTAAGCAATACTATTTTCTCAAAAAGGTAATTAACAAAAAGTCATTGCTGAACAAGCATTTGCCTCAGTTTTAAACCTTTAGTTTCCTTTTTAATTTTTATCTCTTGAGAATGTTTGAGTATTTTACTTAATTTTTACAAATATCACAACTGATAACTGAATAATAACGCTGCAAATGATGGAATCATTGTTTTTGTTTTTAAATGATATCTGAAAAAACAATCAAGGTTCACATGAGTTTGCAAAACACTTTTGAATAAATAAAAATTCATAATAATAAAATAATCTAATACTTATTAAGAGAGATTTATTGAAATTTTAAATAATGTTGTAAACAAGGGTTTTTTTTTCACTTAAATATTTAGGTTAAGTAAAAATACCATTATTATTCTTTTTTTTTTAATTTTTTTTATCTTAAATTATTTTATTTAATGCTCTCTTTTTTCTTCTTATAAAAATGTTTTATTTGGTCGTTTAAAGTTTATTCTCTTATTATTTTTTCGTTTATAAGAGATATGATAACTTATTATTTATGATTAATAGGTATTAATAATAAAGTCTATTTAATTTAGCCTATTTAATTTACTTAACACAATCTAACAAAAGACACAATAATGAAAATATAGGTGAAAATATAAAAAATAAATTTTGTTAAAGCTATTGTTAATGCATCTATTATAAATACATATATATATATATATATATATATATATATATATATATATATATATATATATATATATATATATATATATATATATATATATATATATATATATATATATATATATATATATATATATATATATATATTGTTGTTATTCTTTTATAACCGATTATTAAGATTGAATTTGATTTAAATGTTGTATATGATTCTAAAATGTTTTTTTAGGTGTGGTGTTTAATAGATGATAGAATGTTTCTTTAGATTTGGTAATTGATAGATTCTAAAATGTTGTTTTAGATTTGAAGATATTATAAAATATTTTTTTAGCGGTTGTTTTTCATTTCAAATTTGAAACAAAGACAAAACTCTCTATTAAATTTGATGCATAAAATTAAAATCCAAAGCAATGTAATAAATAGTTTATTTGCAGTTTTTAAATATAAACGAAAAGAGTTAAAGTTTTGCCGTCTCTACAATCAAAATATTCTTAGGGCTCTTCAGAGCAAGTGTTCTTCCTCTACTATATTACCTAAGTACATTGAAATCACCTTTAACATTATGAAGATTTACTTGTTTCAGCAATTTTCTTTGTGAACACATGATACCTCGAAATGTTAATTCTATGTTTATAATTCTATTCTGTTCTCAATATTTTTATTTTCATCATATGAAGCTGATACCTTGTCATTGATAACCTTTAAAAACTTGAAAGAAACTGATTCATAATAAATTTTTCATTCGTAAACTTTTTAAAGAGGCAATACTTTTTATTAAACAATTCTGGTTAAAAAAGTTTAACATTCTTGTAAGTTAAAATATATCTCTGTTTAGAGAAAAACTTTAATTTGCGTATAGAAGTTTTATGTCATTAAAAATATACTTGAAAATCTCAACCATAGTCCATTGCAGTTCAAGTCCTAACTTAATTTTTTTGAGTTTGAATTTATCAAGAATTTAAATAAATAAACGTTTTATAAACAAAAAATGCTTAATCTTAAATTAAAAATTTTCCCCTCATATTTTTGTTTTGCTTTACAATTTGCGGAAAAATAAAATTATTAAGTAAAATTAGTTATGAATCAATTAAAACATCATCAAACATACAAATATAAGTGTGTAATCATCGGCAAGGTTGTATGAAAAAAATTTTATTGTGTTTTATGCGTTTAATTGCCATATTATTTAATTAGCCAGGTTAAACAAGTCAACTTATTTTCCCAATTTTCACTTCTGTTATCGGAAATTTGCAATGGTACGAACTGAACAACCATTTTTATTAAAAAATCTTTTAAAAAAAAAATAAGATAACGAAGTATCTTTTTTTTTTGAAAAGATTGACCTTGTACTGATCAAGTTTAAATGTTCTGTGTGAAACATGTTCTTATAAATTGCAGTTTCGTAGCTATCTCCTTAAAAAAAGTTCTTCAAATTTCACTTTTTCAGTTATTTTGTTACCTTTTTTTCTACCTCAAGAGGGTTGAGCACGATGAACTGCATTGAAATAGAGTAGACATAATACAAGATGATGGTGTTAAAGGTATTATAGTATTGGCTTTCATGTACATTACTCCATTGAGTAGTGGCTTTCATGGACGTTAAAAACTATTAAATGCGTCTTTATATATTTGATTGGCTCAACAAATTAAGCAAAGTTAGGCAAGCGATCCATTAACGAAGAATTTATTGCATTGCTGTCAGGAGGCGATTGAATTTTTCGAGAAATAGCAGCTATCTTTAATTTAGGTTATGTGTGTAGCATCTTATATGTTGGAGCACACAAGAGTACTAAGGCGACGAAGAAAGTTTTTTTAATCTAAAGTTGCAATTATTTAATAGTTGATGTTTTTTTGTAAAAAATAAACCAAAGTTGATGTTTTTTTAAGACGTAAATTAAATGCAATATATTTGGTATCGTTGGAAAGATATTTTATATCTTTTTTGATGCAATAAAAGCAAAAAAGAATATGATATTATTATATTTTTTATAAAAAAAAATATAATTATTAATATTTTTTTTATACAATATAGAAACAATAGATTATAATATAATAGGCCGATTAAAAAATAAATCATAAAAATTTCATAAAGCAACCTTTATAAAAATCTTAGACGTTTTCGGACGTAAAAACCATTTGATAGAATGAAATAGAAACCATTTTATAGAAAAAAGTATGCAAAAAGGTCGGCACCCAAGTGTTTTAACAGGATAGGGATAAAGTATGTACCCCAAAATTTAAAGGATATGCTAGTCTCTCACTAGAATATCTTGTATCTCATTGGAATCAAGCATCCCAACTATCTCTTTTTTTTTTTTAAATATATTTATATTTATACTTACTTGTTTAAAATATATTTATTAAGACTTTTAGGAGGTGTAGGAGGTATGAAGTACTTAACCGGTACGAATCACTGTACAGTAATTCCTCCCTGACGGTACTGATCACTTGACAAGTGATTCCTACTTAGGTGCCGAACACTGTACTTGGGTACCGAACACTTATTATTTTAATTTTGCCGTGTAAATGTTTTGAAAAGAAGTAACAAATGTGGAAAAGGATCTAAAAAACGTTTGTTTACTAGTATTAGTTTAAACAAAATTTCAAAATCAAACGTTTAAAATTTAGTATTTATTTCTTCTTTGTTGTATGTAGTAGCTTTTTTATATCAAGTTAAGATTATTATTGTTATCAAGATTAATATATACTAAATTATTAAATACTAACCGCTTTGAAATGAAGCAATAGATTATCATTTCAATTAATTAACTTGTTTAACTATTTAATACATTTTAATATTGTTTACATGCATTTTATTCTAAATTTATGATAATAATATTTTAGGCAATATGTGCAATTGGCATTTGATGTATATGCTAATAGCACATATATCTTATGTCCAATACGGTTGAGTCGTACGTAAACAAAAAAAAAAAGCAAAGACGCAACTAAAAATAAAAAATGCTTTTCAAAATATTATTTCATAATTACGCAACATCATGATAAGCAAAAGAAAAATGTTTTGTTATGTCTATTATTAGACATCCGTTAGACGTAATAAAATTCCGTTTTTAAAGAATATTTAAAACGTTTATCTTTTCTTTTTAATATATATTCAAACCTGATAAGTAAAAATTGCATTTTTTTTGTGACTAAATTTCTCGTAAAAAACTCAAGTATTGTATGTATCCAAGCATAAATTGCCTTGCCAAAAACTGTTTGATATGTTCGAATATATTAATACATATATTTTGACATTAAGACCAATTATTCTTTATATAAGCTTCCTTAATTATTTTGCAGGTGCAAAATCTTATAAGGAATCATATTTAACACCTATATAAAAATGTTTAGTTTTGCACTTAAGATGTTTTAGTTTGGCAGAGCAGTAAATCAAAAAAAACGATAATTTTAATTCTGTATCTATTTTAAAAATGTCATTTATGCTTAGAAATATTTACAAAAGTAGTTTTTAGATCTTAACGAAGCGAGAACGCTATTAGGAAATCTGGAATTTAAGTCAAATAAAATGACATAATAGCTATAATAAACTTTTAAGTTTAAAAGACAATCACGATTTTTCAGATGTAAACACAGTAATATTGTTGTTAATGACAATACCTGCTACCGTTGCCAGTGCATAAAGATACTACAGCAAATTAATGTTAATCAAAACATATTTAAGAAATATATATTAGGAACGTCTCAAACGCTGTGGAATTTTTGGCAATAGAGAATAAAAAAATATTTTTATGCAACCTCAAAATTTAATAAAATTGTCGGAAGATGATTTAATTGAATTAGGTAAATAATTTTGAGTTACAAAGATAATTTCACAAAAAATTTTCCAACATTTATGCATATAAAATAAATATTATTTATTTTATATGCATAAATGTTGGAAAACTTTTAAAAAATAAATAGAAAATGAAAAAATAAAAAATCAAA